CATGGTTATCTTTGGCGCTGTATCTGTAAAGATCTGTTTTGATATATATATATATATATAAAATCAATAACTTTGATCATTTCAATTGATCAATCGTGCACAAACCAACTGCCATGGTAGATTACTCAGATCAAATCATCACTGTCGATTATTGCTAGCATAACACTTTTGATGTGCCTAAGCAGAAAATCAATACCACCACCATTGAAGTGATTCTTCCAGCACAACCACAAGTAGCTAGTATATAATCGATATGTATTAAAGTTCACACTAAAGAGATACAAAGCTGTGACTCAAGTCCTGGTTTTTCTACAGGCTCAATTAATGTCATCGAGCTCAAACAGCAACAATGATGATAAGCAGAATGGGTATCAGTGCTGATGACTCGTTTACAGAATAGTCCATTTTCTTTATGTTTTCTTTTGGATTCGATTTTCATACTTTACTGCCATAAATGTGCCTAATGCTTAGCTTGAGATTGATCGTCAATCCAAGTCAAAAAGCGGCTTTAATTCGTCCCATAGTTGATGAACATTCAGCTACTACACAATCAGTCTTCTGTGGCAATGGCATGGTTGTGGTTCCGAAGGCCGACTGACGACTTGTTTGCTGCACGTTTACACGGACACACTTCACAAATTTAAGGGGCTATTACTATTTTGTTCTCAACCGCCTGCGGAAAACAATTTTAGGAGTAATCATTGTTAGCCATTACATAACGAGTGAGGTATATATATATGTATATATAATACTTAGTTGCGAACAAGAATGGTATTTAGTAAACAGTGTCAACGCCACAACAAGAATAACACAGAGCGAAGGGGTTAGGATATGGAACAGTGGATTAGCGGTACACATCTTGAAGGCTAATTTACTGGTTTTCTTTGTGGGGCATGGGATTTCAACAGGCAGACCGTACATCATTCGCGCCAATGACTTCTATTCTGAGCTGTATGTCTCAACGTCGACAATCCTCATCCGTTGGACCCCAACATAGAAGGCGGGTTGCACCCATCTTCATACATCTAAGCCATTTCATGGTCTGACCACCGCGTCGTTTCTTCCAGCCTTGCCCGGCACGTGCGAAGAGAGCACGGAAAGGTAGTCAATGGGAAGGTATATGTAGAACACAGCCAAGCCATCCGAGACGTTGTAGAGCGATTACTTCCTTTCGAGGACTACTATCAGTACCAAGCAGACGACGACGAACCTCATCATTGTTCATCTGATGCTCCCACTAGACATGGACAATGCTTCGGGGATAGTGGTAGTCGAATACAGAAAGTCGATTAGCATCCTCAACGCGGAGAGGCCAGGTCACGCAACCGTAAAGCAGGACAAACGGGTGAGGAAAACTATGACAACAAAATGCTGACTTCATAAGCATCACAAGCGGAGTATTTGTGATAATAACTACTGGGCACAGAGAAATAAACATTGTGACCTATTTGGCACATCGCTCAGGAAGACCTGATCGAATTGCGATTACGCAATCACGGGTCGTAAAGTTTTCATGTAATCAATTTTAGACGTACGCACTACATGAGATCAATATTCGTCTTTATAGAGAATCAATAAATTCGTCGAACCGGTCCGTATGGGTGAAAAACATAAACCTCAAATACACCCAAGACCGAAAAGTATGTGGACTCTTCGCCAAACTGGCTATCTATTTCGAAGTTATTTTCCGCTATGAATAGCATCTGATAGAACTCGCTTATCAGTCATCAAAAATAGGCATTGAATGAGCCCTTGTTATGTAATAGACAAGGTGGATTATGTATGATATTCTAGAGTGAAACCTAGACACCAAAACACACCGGGACTGCTCTTGGTGGCAGAATCGAATCCAAGAATAAATTCAGTATTTATATTCATGCTACTGACTAAAATTAAGTAACCGAAGGTGTTCAAGTTACGATTACTGACAGGACCATTTGGGATGGGTAATGGGGAGGTGTGTCCGAGTTTCGAATCGTTCAGTTGGATGAGCTTAAAACAGAAAGCAAACGAATTCCATGGGATTCAGAGTTTCAAAATTTACTCTGTGACGTTCTATGCAGCAAGAACATTATTCGGAGCCTGACATCCCGACATACCAGCGATTAATTTACTCATGTAACTTAAAATGTTGTCGGNGGACAACAGATCCAGGATTGATGTGTGAATTCTCGACGACAGGACAGAAAAAGGGGCGATTCCGAATGGCAATTCATCAATTTTATTTGTTGTACTACATGGGATAAACGAGCCAGATAAGAAGGCAAGGAAGCCCATATGAATGAGAAATTTCGAACACGGGGAACATATGAAGATAGAAAAATAGACCACAATAGAAGGAAGGCTGCCTTGCACGCACGTTTCGATATGCAATACAATTTGGCTTAAACAACATGCACGCGAAAGCGTGTGAGCAATGGTTTGACAAGCGGAGACCGAGGCGGGGTGGAATGCATCTTACAGGCCAATGGAAGCGGTTGGCGAAAGAAACGGGAACAGCAAACTGAAATCATGAGAGAGAGAGAGACAGTGTGATTATGCATGACTAATTGGAAATTTGGTCCACCTCAAACACAAGTGTTTACGAGCGCGCAACCTGTCCAGGAGAGAGAGATGGTGGTGGTGGGGGACCTGTTCGTCAAGGCACTGAGGAATTCAACTGTGGTTTCTTTTAAATTACCGTATGAGGAAAAATACGCGCGGGTACGAAAATATTACAAAACAAAACAATGGATTGAGTGCAGAAGTAGGCACGCTAAAAACACGGGAGCATAAGCTGACGGTGTGACCAACTTTTTGGTGGGTTGAATTTGGAAGAAAAGAGGCAAGGTAATTGACTGGAAACACGGGTCAAGTGTTAGAGAACTTTGGTAATATCATTTCCGTCCTGGACGACAGCGGGAGAGAGAGAGAGACAGGCCGGACACAGATACACAGCCTCAAGGTTATTGTGATTGTGAACTGGAGTTTTTCGATGTGATGAGGAAGCGGAAGATGTATATATGTAATGTGAAAGACCAGAGTCATGACACCAGCACAGACAGTAGAAGTACTTGCCAGATGTGTCAGTATGAATGCGCGAGGGTTGCAGGAATGAAGTTTGAACCGCGAGCGGTACAAGAGTCATAAAATTTCTCGGATCTGTGTTCGTGAGTATAGCAGGGATATGGGAGTGATGAAGAGCCACGTTGAGCAGGACATTTGGGATTCATTTGGGTGCATTCGAACCTGGACGTGGAGGTCGCTTTGGAGGTGCTTTCAATTGGCTTGATTCTTCCGTACGGGATGGTGATTTCGACCTGGCATCCTCGGCTGGAGTGAAATGAATGGCCGAACACGCAGTAGGCACGGAGGCTTGATCCCCAAGTGGGGTTTTCATAGGGTCTCGGTGATTATTCGGGTCCGAGGCTGGAGTTGAAGGATATGGCGGATCACGTGGCGACGGCAGGATTGATGTGCCAACAGACTGAGGGAGAGATGCTGGAACTGGAGGTTTGGGAGCGGCTGTCTTTTTTCGCGGCTGCCTTGATGGACTTGCAATCACAGATCTGTTGAAAGAGCGTATCGAACATGAAATAAAAATCATCGAAAACTTCTAAATATTTTTAGCATACTGAAATTGTGAAAGCACATTCAGGAAGGACGATTAACATCAGCAGAAACGACAACAGCAACAACAGGCCTCCTACAGCTCATTTGGACAGATTTTTAGGTAGACCTAGCCGCGGATGATTAGGAAGGCAACTGGATTGCGACATTATTGTTCCGTGTGGCTATGAAAGTGTTGAGAGATTACCAAGTTGAACATCACTGCTAGGTTGTATAAGTAGGTGAGATTTCAACTCTTATCTAACAAGACATCCAGTATATTTCGGAATGTACGTAACATGGTAATGTTAAAATTAAACTAGACCACGCACTTCAACCGAAGGATTATCGATCGACCGGACGCAGCATTGGTGCATGATACTGACTCATCTTCATGCAGGCGAAAGAACACGAAGGCAGAGCGATTCAATCTCCGATTGCAACTACACTTCGGTGAAAAGAATTATTTTGGAAAACGATTCGGGTGGAGCTGGTCCCCGTGTTTATTGCAAAACGGCTTGGGTTAGAAACGCATCACTTTCCTAGTGCGTAGCTTGAGCTCACCATGTCGAGATCTTAAATGACACCACAGATGTAGGTCGAAAGAACTATGATATCCAACACCTCCAATATGTATTGGTCTTCGTAATGAAACTATCGAAGTTACGTAGGGGGCTACAAAACGATAGCGGATTGCAAAGGCTATTCCGTCACTATCAAGTTCGCGGAAGGATAATGAGAACTTCGATCTCCTCAGAGTAGAATTTACAGCCGAGGGTGCTAGATTGTTTTGGCGTTGATTTAGGTAAATCGAAATACGCAAAGGCAAGCTGATTTGTTTGCAACAAAGTTCTGTTCAAAAACCAAATAAGCGGGACGATGAGTATTTTGTTCAAGCGAAATTAGGGTTTAGTACAAACAGGTGCATTGGTCACGACCAACATTTGGCAACAGCAGGCGGAAAACAAGAAGGCTGTGGATTCCTAAATAGAATCGACCTGCCTTGGCCTGGGCAACCTGGTAGTATTCCGTCCACATGCAAATCGCAGAACGTTTTTCATTTTACTAAAGATAAATGTACCACCAGATTCGTGCAATGCTGCGTAGACAGCGGTGTTCAAACAGCGATAGTCTATCTTTATCCTACCTCCCTAATGGCCAAGTTTCTGCGCCGTATAGGAGAACTGGCCGTACTGCTGCAGCATACAGTCCACCGCTCACACAAAGCCAGATGTCGCGACGGTGCCACAAATGTCGCAAGTTGGCAAATGCCAATCGAGCCATGTGTACGCGAGCTGATACTTCATCAGTGATGTGTCCACCGGGTGAGATGTTGCTGCTCAAGTAACAAAACTTACCCACTTCCTCTATTACTTCTCCACTTACAGTAAGGCTGGGTGCTGGACCAACCAAGTTTCGTAGTAACATTTTACACTTTGAAGGTGAAAAACGCATAGCGAACATGGCTACAATAGCACTCAAACTATCCAGAAAAGCTTGTACCTTACCTGGATCTTCACTTAGTAGCATAATGTCGTCTGCGTACTCTAGATCAGACAGTCTGCCACATGGGAGTAAATCGATGCCACTATCCTTGCACGAGGATAGGTTTGTTTCCATAATCAAATCTATGACGAAGTTAAATAGAGAAGGACAGAGAGGGCAATCCTGACGAACACCATATTCCGTGGTGAACCGGGGTGAAAACATGCCGTAAGCTGGAACTCGACTTCGGCTATTATTGCAGAGGGATTGTAATATTGAAATAAACTTCTCGGCCCATCGTTCAGAGAGAGAGGCGGAGCCAGAGTTTAGAGTGGTTGACTGAGTCAAATCAAGAAAGACAGAGATAGTGGGTCTACGAAAAGACTTTTGAGTTGACGGCTCCGGTTAGGGTTCTCAAGGAAAAACCCATAAATTCCCACTGCCTTGCGGGTGAGACTCTTGAGTCATAGGCTCCGGTTTGGGTTCCCAAAGAAAAACCCCTTGGTCAGTGTGGGCTACTGCGAAGTATGTCGTGCCCTACAGTCTTAGACACCCATGTGGAAAAACCTCTTTCTGATTCTTCCTTTCAGACAAGTGTGAAATATAATAATAATAATAAAGTGCGATCAGACGCTCCGAAACCACATGAGCTTACGGGACAGTGCACAGCGCTTCAGGTTTTGGTTGTTTCGGTCAAAATTTAATTGCCCCGACGACTACCGATATACACATAACTGTCTGGACTGCACACGATGGTATGTATGTATCTGTATGAATTATTGTGGAATATTCCATGTCTCATCTGGAGTAATTCTATTTTGAAAGTAAATACACAAACGGTGTATGGTGGAGAAAATCGTGACGATTAATATGAGAAGAGTAAGTCTACCAAATCCATTGAGAGCATTGATATAGACTCGAATTTCGTTCTTTGCGGAGCTGATCAGTAGTGCAAATCTACCATTCCGTTTGAGAGTAGTAGTCAATGACAAACACATCTCCCCNTCTCCCCTATATATGGGTGGGGTTTCTGTTGAAAGAAAGAACAATCAAATAATGTCTGATTGACCAATTGATTCTGATATACCTTAATGCCTTAATTTAGCCAGAGAAGTGAACTAATGAAGTTAGTCATTCAGTTGTAAACAAATGGCATATATTCCAATTGAAATGTATTCTAAATCCTCAGAACTGTGCTTGAACGTATGCCGTAGTCGATCTCATACAGTGGATACCTGCATGTACAGAAACGCTGGGTGATATTTTATCCTAATAAATACATCTACACACGTACTTTAGGTTTCAAATAGACGAGTTCTACCGAATTTCACGGCATCAATTCAGGATCATTCGAATGGAAAACACCAACCGGGGCAATTAGCCTCCATCGGCTGTGATCAGAATTGTCTTCATAGCACGAATAGTTCAGGACCCAGAGTGCATGTGCGAGCGTTATAATCAGGTGAACTAATTGTTGATTACGAAACGCGTTTCGGTTCGAGCGAGATACAATCTTGAACATCATGCTTTTCTCTTTCCTATCACGGACGGGACTTACTAATTAAGTGACACCACCACATTCAAATGCCATTGTCTTCCTGTTGGAATGTGATGGTAACGGCTTGAGAATGATAAAGGGAGAAACACATGCTTGTCTGCAATCGGTGTTCCAGGGTACTTTCAGTAAAAACGCATTTCGGAACCGTGGTCTTCACGCATCCACCACGGTAATATAATCACAAACAACCGCTTTTAATTTTTTGACCATCTGCTTTTTTATCAAAATAAGTGGGGCAAAAACGAGTGTGAAACTGCAAGACTTACAAAGTCTGACCCTGTGAAGAATCTGGGCCTGGAGCAGTTCGAGGTTCAAGTGAATCGATGTCCGACAAATCTTGTATTAAAAAACCAATTGCTGGGATACTGTTGGTCGGGTTATGCGATGGATCCGCGACGGACTTGACAGGCTCATCTGGAATACTGGGATACAAACGAGGAGCCGTAGGTTTTGGTGGTTTGAAGTCCGTCAGACTGGCATTTGATGGAGATCGTGAATGCGTCGAGAATGTGACACAATTGGAGCGATCCTTCAGCAAGTGGCTAAGAGCGACTGAAATGAGGACAGAAGTGCACTACTATGAGTGGATGAACAATGTACTATTAAATACGCTTTGTGTGTTGTTTCTGAAAGTTGCTGAGGCTCTAGCCATTCATACTGCCAAGCCCGGTCTATGCAAACGTGAACAAACATCACAATAACTTTGCCTTGGTTATCAACCCCTACTATCTCCAGTTCTTCGTGTTAGTATGTTGTGTTGTTCGTCGTGATTAGCGATTTTGTCTTTAACTCACGATAATTATCTTATTAACTAAAAAAATTACTTTGACTGCAGTATGCAGTACGTGTACAGACGCAGCGAAATGACCATGGAGACATTTTGCAAACCGATGTTTTCAGTTGCACCAGTTATACAAATACAAATAAGTGTTTCGGCTCAGTCAAACATCACATCA